GTGATGTCCTGTGTGTTTATCTCCTTGTGTAATGTCCTGTGTGTTTGTCGCCCTGTGTGATGTCCTGTGTGTTTATCGCCTTGTGTAATGTCCCGTGTGTTTTTCGCCTTGTGTGATGTCCTGTGTGTTTATCGCCTTGTGTGATGTCCTGTGTGTTTATCGCCTTGTGTAATGTCCTGTGTGTTTATCGCCCTATGTGATGTCCTGGTGGGGTAAAACGTCAGTCAGAGACGCTGAAACAAACTAATTTTCGGAAAAGTAGGAAGAGGGTCAGCTCCATGATAGCTTTCGAGGAGACAAAAGGCCCTTAAGACTCGTAAGCCTTGTTTTAATGCGCAATAATAATTTTCAAAGAGCATCACACAAATCATTACCACTGTAACCCCGGCGACGGTCCATATGGATCTCTAAATAAACTGCATCCATAACACCGAAAGACAGTCAGGCATGGGCAGAGCAGATATCATCTACGGCTACACTTTATCGACTAGGTTAATGGGTGATGTCGAATCTCTGACACTAACACGATTCTGTGACATGGGAGTAAAGCATTGTGAAGCACGTCCAAACCGCTTCAAAGCAGAGACAGAAGGCATTTACGTGCGACCAATCATTAGAAGTACACTGGAGTGGCTGCTGCATCGAGGGGCTGGACACACTTAGGAATTCCCAGTGTGCATTGACGTCGTTTGTAATAACATAGAACAATACAACATAACAAAACATCAGCATAAGACAATATGGTATATCCTTTAAAGACACAATCCCACGACATTCAGAGTAGCGAGGGGGCTGCATGGTCTCAAGTCATGGTGACCGGCTCGAGTGCTAGAGGTTAGGATTCAATCCTCGGTAAGGGCTTGGATTTTTTTCCTTAGAATCTTGGTAGTAGATCGGATGCCCGTGTGCAGTGTTGCGCACATAAAAAAATCCCTTGGCAGTTGGAAATCGAAAAGAGTAGCCTTACGGAGCTGCCGGGGCAAAATGTGGAATTAAATATCTACCTAAAGTTCTACCTAAAGGATCCTCACCGGTGCTACAGAGCCTGTGCACTGTGCTGAGCTTCTTCGGACTCGGACTTGAGTTAGAGGAAGAACTACCCCCGTGTGGGTTCCGGGGCCCCATTGTGGGGAAAACAAGAATAGACCCACTGCCTCCCCAAAAGCATGTCGTAAGAGTCGACTAATTGTGGAGCTTCCTTTGAAGTCGGAGTGCATCCGCCGGAGAGGCAAGGAACCAACAGTCTGTATTCAAGAGAATGAGATCTGTAAAACTGATGCACACGCAACACTCAGGTTCTGGAGCAGGACTGCAGCTCAGTAGTGGACGAGCAACAAGAACCTTCCACCAGAGTTTACAGCTGGTGAACGCGAAGAAGAAGAAGAAGAAGAGGAAGAACTGAGCACTTATAGGTTACTACCCGTGTGCCATGATGTTGATCCAAGGTTCAAACCTCAAACCTCAGGGTAGCGATTCAAAAGATCACCTCGCCACTAGGCTCAATTCCCCACCTATCAAGGACTGGCCAAATCTGGCCCACAAAAGCCTAGTAAATCACCCACGGATCGTCGCCAGTTTTTTTGTAATGATGATCTTTCGGTTAGGTTGGCGATAATCTTCCCAGAGAAAGTAGGTCACTTTTCATTCACAGTTTGTTTTAAAGCTAGTCGACTTTCCTGAAGACTACGGGTGTGTCCCGCTCTGTTGTTTGCTTTCTGTGGCGTCTTGCATTTACGTTTTCACTCCGAGAAAGAGAATGCCTGCGACATAGGTGGCAGAACTAGCTGGGGGGGGGGGGGGGGGGGGGGGGGTTGTGTTAGGTCTAGTTGGTTCATGTTTTTGAGAGCGTTATATGCGCTGACCTGCTGAAATATACCACACGCGATATCATCAGTATCGCGGAACACCCCGTAACCTTGTGGAAAGGCTGCAGGGCTCAGGAACTACCAATCAGAAGTAAGCTAGTGTGTATGTGGGCGGTTCGCGGGGAGACTAAGGTTAGTTTTACCGATCTTTCTTTGCTGTAGTTCTGACTTCTAGCCCGTGACGATCCCAATTTTCGAAATTTAGGCCTATGAACTAACTTGGTTGAATGACCCTGCTCTAACCGTTCAACCACCTTTCCCTGAGAAAGAAGAGAAGGGGAAACACGAGACCTCATGCTGATAACAAATCGACCCTAAACACAGCATTAATGACGAAAACAGGCACATATAAACATTCTTGAATCTGATGTGTTTTGAAATCAAGTTACACTGTTTGTGAAACCACGTTCGTTGTATTGTCTCATTTACCGGTATCTCCAAACTGATTTCAGCTGGGACAGAATGATTGATCGTTTCAGACCTGGTGAACATCCGGGGGGAGGGTTTAACAAAATAATGAATGATCTATTTGTGGTTTGAACGCAGGTATTTTATATGACTAATGGAGTACTCGAGTGCACACACCCTCACACACACACACACACACACACACACACACACACACACAGAGCAGG